TCAGGGCCTGGACGGATTGCTATCATCGAAGGAAAAATGAATTCCCAAGTTTATCAAGATATTTTGCAGGAGAACTTAAGGCCATCTGTCTACCAGCTGAAGCTACACAGAAGATGGGTGTTGCAAGAGGACAATGACCCAAAGCATAGAAGTAAATCAACAACAGAATGGCTTAAACAGAAGAAAATACGCCTTCTGAAGTGGCACAGTCCGAGTCCTGACCTCAACCCGATTGAGATGCTGTGGCATGAGCTCAAGAAAGTGATTCAAACCAGACATCCCAAGAATATTGCTGAACTGAAACAGTTCTGTAAAGAGGAATGGTCAAGAATTACTCCTGAACGTTGTGCACGTCTGATCTGCAACTACAGGAAACGTTTGGTTGAAGTTATTGCTGCCAAAGGAGGTTCAACCAGTTATTAAATCCCAGGGTTCACATACTTTTTCCACCTGCACTGTGAATGTTTACATGGTGTGTTCAATAAAAACATGGCAACTGTAAGGAATATGAAATAGTTTCCTTGTTCATATGTATTTTATGCTTTTATAAGGTTTATAAATATTATTGCTGACTAAAGGATATGAAATAGTTAAACTCAATTTACGACATAATATGCTGACTGTGACAGACTAAGGTATTTCTTCTATAGGATGTAAGACAATGCTAAATCTCAGGATGTCTTGCCCATTCCGATTTCAGGATATTCTTCCCCAGACGTATGCAAAAGCTTATCTTTCCATTGTCAGAATAACATGTAATATAAGGAAGTAATAAATCTTATAGTCTGTAATGAATGGCATATCTCATGGCTAATGTAAGCAAACTATGTATAAAAGCTAGCTCTGGAATACACTCATTTGAGAGTCTTGTCAAGCATCCTGTTGTCCGTGTCTTATTGCTGACAACGATTCTCCATCAACATTGATTATGGTGACCGAGGGATCGAGAACCGAGGGGATTTGAGTCCATTACAGCATTAACCCTTTCAGCTTGGTGTCAGAAGTGGGATGGATGGATGGATCAGCAAAACCATTGCGGTGAGTAGCCTTTTTGTGTCTTATTTGACGCTGATTGTCTATGACCCCCCTTTGGTTCAGTAAGTCTGTATACAGTAGATAGGAAAGGTGTAAGGACTCTAGTTATATTGAGACCATGAGAGGTCTCCGGTTTATATTGAGACTATAAGAGGTCTCCGGTTTATTAGACATTTGGTCTAAATATATAGGGTTTTGGTAACCCAGGTTAGTATCTAAGATAGATACAGGGTATCTCAGGTAGATACAGGTTTTGAGACCATAAGAGGTCTCCGGTTTATTAAGACTATAGGTGTTCTGAGGAGCACGGTTTATAGATCTATAAGTATAACCCAAACTTCTCTTTCTCCCGGTCACCTTTGTTTGTCTTAAGTGTTCTTTGTGGGTGATTGTTTGTCTATATTGGGGACACACTTTGGTAAGTTAGTAGTGTCCCCACTCTGAGTCAGCAGTATGGGAAATGTGAGTTCAGGTCCTGAGTGACCAATATATGTATGTATATATGTGTGTGTGTATATATAAGATAGCAGTACTTTTAAACAAATGGAGGTTTTAAAAATACATATCGATTAAGGAGAGAACGCAGGTAACTTGTTTTTCTTTGGTTTTTACCATATATTGGGGCTGATGTGTACTGTAGTCCTTGCTGCTGCCCAGTAGTGATGGGAGTGAGCGCAGGACTTATCTTTCTGCAAGATAGCAGTACTGTATATTAGAAAAAAAATGACTCACAGGTTGTACCTGATAGACCTACTTAAATCTTTTTACTTTATTCTTTCTGTCGCATAGAAGTATAAGTTTATTACTCTGTTTTATTGTAAGTTATTTCACATGGGATCTGTGTGCCTGGTATGATTGTTGCTTTAAAAATACCATAAGCCCACTACACTTTTTATGAGAGTGGGATAAGTGTAAATGAGTTACATTTTTTTTTTGAAATGATGAGCTCAGTATATTTTATACTGAGACAAAAAGGAAGCACTTCATTAGTATTTGAATATGGGATTAATTGTATAGAAACACCAATCAGCTCATCTTCCCTGCCCTGTGTGTTTGTTGCAAAGAGTCCATACTAAATATGATTTATGTTTGAAAATAACAGAGCAACATTTACATTTTCAGCGGTCCAACACATGCTTTATTTTGCACTGTAAACTAACCTTTTTATTGCGACAGATTCCTTTTAAATGATCCAGTGTAATAACTACTGCTTGTGTCTTCTATGTCTCACATTATGTGTTATTTTAAATTGTGGTATATAGCCTGGATCAGAAATCATGGACAAAGGTTTTTACCTGTGTTACTAAGGGCTCTTGGAGACTGACCAGTCTAAAGGTTTGCCATGCCTTTAAAACATGGTATAGAATAAAAAAATTTTGTAAGTCTCTGAGAGTTCTGAAAGATTCAGGTGAAACCATGTCTGTGTAATCAGGTCCAGATGTTTGTTCAATTTCTATAACATTTACGTTGATGCAGCATCATCTCAGATTAGTTAATGGAAGTTTTATACAAATAGTTGAGTTATGAGCGCGCTATATAAATGGATCCTTTCTTTATATACAATACTATAGTAGATTAAAGTAATGAAGTTAATTAAGAAAATGTATACATAAGAATCCCTAAAATAAATCTAAACTAAAATTGGTATACCTTCCAATAATATGTTCTGAATACAGCTGTTAATTGTTTATTCTGTGTAAATGGTGATTGTGATAATGTGTGATAAGTGTGCAGTTTAACTTGAAAGTGGTTTAATTTATATGTTGCTCTTTTGTTTTAAATTATATGTGAATCAGTTTGTCACAGTCTAGTGATACTGATAAGAATGACAACCAAATAACCTAGCAAATAACTGTTTTATTAGTTGTTAAATACTAGCGTTTTGGCCAAGAATAGTTGGAGATTTGGAGGTGTTAGTTTAAGATTGCTTTTATAGTGTGTCTATCCGTGTTTCCTAGGAGGGAGACAGAGTGTGTAGTTGTGTGCCCATAAATGTGATTTCTGTATTGGCATATCTGCTGGGTACCCATTATGTGTTTCTACAAAGATATTGTTTTGTGAGATGACGTGTAATATAACATTGGATGCTGAGTATGAGTTATATGGTTTGAAATGAATTGGTGATTTATGAGCTTAGTACTTCAGTAAGATAAGCTAAAATTTGGAACAAGGTGGAAGCTGAAATGTTGGGATTATGGAAGAATACGCCGTCTATATTCACTGCTTTGGCATATAAGCAAGATGCAAAGGAAGAGATTGGTAATATGATTTTTGTAAAGAAATTTTACAAGAGTTGGAAGGATGAGGCAGGTTTGATGTCTGGAGATGATATAGATCTCTTTAAAATACAGTCATGCCTTGGTAATATGTTGCCACAGTATTCTTTGCTTGTGAAACAATTGATTTCAGACTGGGCCAATTTGGATAGCTCAGATTTTCTTACCAAGGTTATAGAAAAGGAAAATGCAGGTTGTTTTGACTTAAGAAAAGATTTAGGAAAGTAAGGTTGCTTATTATGCTCAGGGATTGCAACACTGTCCACCTACACAGGCTGAGAGCGAGGATGGGATGGAGCACATAAAGCCCGTGGTATGGGTGGTCAAAGAGGGGCAAGGGGATGGAGACAGGGTAACCAAGGAGGAATAGACAGGAACACTTGTTTCAACTGTGGCCAATATGGCCACTGGAGGAATGAGTGTCCACACCCCAGGAAACCCCAGGAAACCCCACACACCCCAACAACCCCACAATTCTCAAAATATGGCCGGTAGGCAAGAACAACACCAGACCCACTCCCAACAACACTGGCCAGCATATCGCTTAGTTCAGGACTTTAGAGCCCTGAATAGTTTAATTGTGCCCATTTCACCCATTGTCCCTGATGTGACATCCCTCATTACAGCCATTCAATATGATGCCACTTGCTTCACTGTCATTGATTTAAGTAATGCATTTTTTCTATACCTATTGATCAAGAGACACAGCTACTTATGGTTTTTACTTTTTGATGGCTGTTAGTTTACCTGGACACGCTTACCCAAGGCTATGTGGATTCCCCAGCTGTTTATTCGTTGGTACTCCAACATACTCTAAAAAACATGGACCATCGGTCATGGTTCCGTCCTTTTTGCAAAATGTTGATGATTTGTTGTTATGTAGCCCTAGCTATGAGGCAAGCACTGTGGATACTGTCAGCAACTGTGGGTCACAAGGTTGTTAAACACAAAATGCAATTGTGTAAATCAAAGGTTGAATACTTAGGTTTTGTTCTGGCTTTAGGCACCAGACAATTGAGTCCAAAACGTATTGAGGTCATTCAGAGGATTCCTACACCCACTACTCGGAAGGAGTTGCTCACCTTCCTCGGCATGATTAATTACTGCCACCAATGGATCCCTGAATTTTCCCATTATGACTCAATCCTAAGGGAGGCTGTACGTTCTGACAGCCCTGAAAATGTCTGCTGGTCACCAGACATGCTAGCTGCATATATTGCCCTTAAAGTTGTTATTGTGCAAGCCCAGGCTTTAGGACTACTTGTGTATTGTAAACCATTTCATTTGTATGCTTGGGACAATTGTAAAACCATGGCTGCGGTCTGTGCACAAGAGCAAGGAGGCGGTATGCGTCCCATGGCATTATTTTCCAAAGTAGTTCGAGCTCCGGTACAGGGTATGCCGGCGTGTCTCAGAGCATTGATAGCATGTGCAATGGCTGTTGAAACTGCTACTACTATCACACTAGGGCATCCTACAATACTTCATGCCAGTCACCAGGTCACTCAGCTTATAACAAATCTCACCACACAACACATGACAGCCCAGCACTTAAGTGGTTATGCGATTCTTTTTTTAATACCCAGAATCTGTCTTTTGGATTAAACAAGGTTTAGAGAAAGATCAGAATGATCTGTTCTCTAAAGAGGTGAGAATAGGCATACTTGAAGCAAGCTGCTTTATTTTCATCAGTCAGGCACATAGCAAGCACCATTCAAGTCCTCATGAATTAATTTTATATTAGGAATCTCAGGCAGCATGTACAGTCTTTTGTAAGATCGTGTGAACGCTGCTCTTTTTACACACTTACAGATTGATTTTATACATGTATCCAAAATTGGTAAGAAACAGCAATACTTACTGGTCATAGTTGATCAGTTTAGTAGATGGCATGAGGCCTTTGTGACATCTAGGGAAGATGCTAGTGAAGATCATTGTTACTGAAATTATTCCCAGGTATGGCTGCCCTCTGCAGATTGGCTCTGAAAATGGCCCGGTTTTTGCAAGTGGGGTTGCCCAGGAACTTGCTAAATTCTTGCAAGTTACCTGGCAGTTTCATATACTCTATCATCCACAGAATACAGGGGTAGTTGAAAGGATGAATAGGACTATTATGGAAAAGCCCAGAATTTACCCAGGAACATGGGTAAATTGGACTAGATATCTACCAGCTATTTTAGCTGAGATAAGAATGAATTCCCACAAGGTGACTAAATTATCTCCATTTGAGATTTTGATGGGATGACCTTTTCCCACACCCTGGGCCAGGGAATTGCTTGTTATAATGTCTGGGGATTTACAGCTAATACAAGAACAATATGTACAGGAATTGTTGATAAAACCGAATGGTATGTATGACAATGTTTCTTCGCAGTTTTCCCTTACCTTCATAGGAACCTACTCATCCATACCAGCTCGGTGACAAGGTGTATATCCGTCAGCTGAACAGGACCAAGAAAGGAGGATACCCTTTTGGACCACCTGCTACTGTGATTGCTGTACCCAGAACCGCTGTCCTCACAGATTCCCATGACATCTGGATTCACGCATCCCGAGTGAAGCTGTGTCCAAAGAGGGGAACCAAGGAAGACAGCACCACTCCTCGCTCGGAAACAGAAGAATTTCTCAGCGAAGCATCATGGCTTTTACACCATATCGTAGATTGAGAGGATCATACGTACCTGAGACCAAGATTATGTTGTGCGCTATGCTTTCTGGAGTTGTTATACTCCCTCTGATATTGTTCCTTGAATGCCATTATGAGTACAAGTCAATGGCAAGTTTGAAACCTGTTTGTTTCTGGAAAAAGACTCTGACATGATGAACAATTCTTCAATACCCCCAGCCCAATTAGGCCTTAGCCCCTCATCTAGCATTCGTCACACACGCCCCCTCAAGAACCTTTCTCCACCACCTTTCTATCAGCATGTAATATGCAATCATTCATTCACTGAACGCATTTGGATGAATTGGACAAATAGTAACCCTTATAAGTACCAGTTACCCATATGAAATGTGTCCACAGCTAATGAAACCGATGCATTATGTTTGTTTGAAGGTTCACAGAAAATTGTTAGATCTTATAACGCAGAAATGTGCACAGTTAAGGTTGCATATCAATGTAAACAGACAGGCCTTATTACTTTTAATAATGATTATATAACTGGTATCATTAATTGGAGAAGGGGACAAATGTTAGTCATTATGAACCACACTGCAATTGAGAACTATACACTACCTTATATTTTTACACCTCATTACTGTCCTTTATCCTCTACCATAGAATTAAAAGTCAACAACGACAAACACACACCTATTCCGTCCACATGTATTAATACAACTGCCTTCTTACAAGCTGTACATGTGTCATTAAAAATAACGACTCCTGTTATAACATTATGTAACACAACAAAGGCAGAAAAGGGAATGGTATGACACACTGTTAGGAGGTGCTGGAACCACTATGGGTATACTAAATAGTATAGATATGGAGACCCTCAAGAATAAGTTAAACACGGCCAGTATGCATATAGGGACTGGTTTCCATGCTACTGCAAACTGGGCTCCAACTGTTGTTAAATCACAGGTTATAGGATTGGATTTAGATAAATCAATGTATAATTATTTAGATAATTTAACTGTTGCAACTATGAAATTCACTACAGGTCTAAGTAACTGGAGTACTTGTGCCATCAGGTATTTATGGATACAACAACAAGGATTGGCATTAGAAAACACACTAATGATTCCTAAACTAGAGAAGATTAGAGGAATGCGTAACCTCACAGATAATGAATGGTTACTTCTAAAACCCCAATCCACTAAATGCAATGGATGGTTAACTGGTAATGTTTCACATTTTTCATGCTCATGCTATTTTATATTGTATCATACATCATCAAAGGATATTAAATTAGCTTGTCAATTTAACACATTACCAGTACCAGTTTATGATCTTTTTGCCAAGAATTTAACCTGGTGGGCACCCACATACACAGGGGACTATATTTTTCCCAGCGATAACACACACAGGTAGCCACACATATCCTAAAAGGAGAACTCCTTAAGGTGAGTTCACAAATTCAGAATGATTTAGCCCATCATTGGTACGATGCTTTACTGGTTGGTCCCCTACTGGATCCCAGATAATGAAATAATTCTTCTATCTTTTTGTTATTATAGTCCTGATTTTATTGTGTATGATTTTATATAACTGTCACCTTACTTGTACATTGAGGAAGTGAGTACAGAAATTAATCCATAATGCAGAACAGAAACAATTAGAAATTCTCCTCTCTGCCACTGGAGGGTATCAACCCATCTTTAAACTGGGCCTTAGGAATTACCACATGGGAATCAAGGTGAAGAAATTAATGAAAGTCCCGCAGGGAGTGACTAGCACCCCTGAAAATACCATATGGAAGTTTCTCTGTCCTGGTAAGATTTTATTGATAAGATGAGCAAATTAATTGCTCAAAGAGGGGGATGTACGGAATATGAAATAGTTTCCTTGTTCATATGTATTTTATGCTTTTATAAGGTTTATAAATATTATTGCTGACTGAAAGGATATGAAATAGTTAAACTCAATTTACGACATAATATGCTGACTGTGACAGACTAAGGTATTTCTTCTATAGGATGTAAGACAATGCTAAATCTCAGGATGTCTTGCCCATTCCGATTTCAGGATATTCTTCCCCAGACTTATGCAAAAGCTTATCTTTCCATTGTCAGAATAACATGTAATATAAGGAAGTAATAAATCTTATAGTCTGTAATGAATGGCATATCTCATGGCTAATGTAAGCAAACTATGTATAAAAGCTAGCTCTGGAATACACTCATTTGAGAGTCTTGTCAAGCATCCTGTTGTCCGTGTCTTATTGCTGACAATGATTCTCCATCAACATTGATTATGGTGACCGAGGGATCGAGAACCGAGGGGATTTGAGTCCATTACAGCATTAACCCTTTCAGCAACATTTCATTCTTTGTGTGTAATTAGTTTAAGCAGACTGTGATTGTCTATTGTTGTGACTTAGATGATGATCAGATCACATTTTATGACCAATTTGTGTAGAAATCCATATCATTCCAAAGGGTTCACATACTTTTTCTTGCAACTGTATATTTTTTAATATATATGAAATATGGTGTACATAATACTCTAATCATAATGATGCTACGCATGGGGTAATTAACCAAAATAATATACTGCTGCTCAGGGGATGACAAACCCCCTTAATACTTCCAAAGAAAGAGAATCCAGGGACACAGATCTCATCATACAGCAAACTTTTTATTGGAATAAGCATTAAACAACAAAGTTTTGGACGTTTGTGAATTACCTTTGTTCAGGCCTTAAGATTTTGGACTTGCACACAAATACCCCACACCATCTGTGCAAAACATCCTTCACCTGACTTAATTATTACATTGAAGTAGTAAAAAAGAGGGTTGTTATGGAGACTAGGCTAACCAAGGCAGGGAAAATCAAACAAACTGTTTTAAAACCAAGAGGAAACTCAGCCCAATTTTCATGTGGAAGTAAAACTAATCTAACCCATTATGTTATTATAATTACATATTCCAGAGTTGGTGATTGTTAAAAAGGAGACATATTCATCGCTAACCAGCCCCCTCTAGAGGCTAGTATTACAATTATACAATTCTATGTATCATATTTGCTGATGCTCCAGTGGTCAGCTCTCCTGTTTAGACGGCAGTGCAGTGTATGTGTGAGAAAAACATTACCTTGTCTTATAATCGAGGATAACTGTGTCAGCCACATGGCAGACTTATGTGTCAGATCTTTGGTCGCTGACCAAGGGCAGGTCATTGGGAGGGGGCAGCCGCGAGGTGTGGGAAGTGTCACGCAATATCATTGAGATCAGTGCATTGCTGTTGGTGTATGTATTTATCTTTGACTTTGTATGTGAGCATCCATGTATCTGCATGTTTTTTAGTGTGTGTGTCTGTATTCTCACTATGACAGCCAGGTGTGGTCACATGATGGGATTTGAACCTGGTACCTTCTGCATCCTAAGCCTGAGTTCCTGCCTCTAAGCCACTTCTGAACTTTGGTTCCAACCTTGTTTGCCTGGCATTGCCTGCAGCACTAGGGGGCTGGACATCACCAGTGGCTCCTACCTGTCCATCTAAGTTCACCTGAAGCAGTTCACTCATTAGCTGGGCATAAAACACTGTCCCTTCATGAAAACATTGTCAGTTTGTTGTTTCATGTTTCCTGTTGCTAGTACACTGATTTGGCTTGTGTCCACTGCTTCTGGATCTTTGTTATTGACTGCTCACTGCCCTGAATTTTGGAACTGTCTGACTGCTCTTCTGGATTTGCCCTTGTCTGCACTGCGAATTGGAACACCTTTCATGCACAGATTCACAGTCCTGGTATATCTGCAAAGGTGAGCACAAATCTCTGTCTACCGGACTCCCAACTAAGGTAAGCCCTGACACTGTATGTGTTAGTGTGTATTTGATTTTTTCACCCCCATATGGTAGTCTTGTATTCAGGCCTTTATCAACAAGATCTAAAATGTGGGGGTCCTATAACTAGGGTCGTCTTATAATCAAGCAAATATGATACGATACTTGCACTGATCAGCCATAACATTAAAACCACTGACAGGTAAAGTGAATAACAGTGATTATCATGTTACAAAGGCACCTGTTAAGGGGTAGAATATATTGGTAACTAAAATAATAGATCAGGGTGGTGCAGTAGACATTGCCTACCTAGAGTTCAATAAGGCTTTTGACACTGTTGCACATAGAAAGCTTATCAATAAACTGCAGTCTTTAAGTTTGGATTCCAATATTGTTGAATGGGTAAGGCAGTGGCTGAGTGACAGGCAACAGAGGGTTGTAGTTAATGGAGTATTCAAAGCATGGGCTTGTCACCAGTGGGGTACCTCAGGGATCTGTACTTGGACCCATTCTCTTTATTAGTTTTTATTAATGATATTGCAGAAGGTCTTGATGGTAATGTATGTCTTTTTGCTGATGATACTAAGATATGTAACAGGGTTGATGTTCCAGGAGGGATAAGCCAAATGGCAAATGATTTAGGAGTTGTGGAAACTACCATTTAATGTGGATGTGACAAAATGCCTTTTGTTACTGGGTTTGCATGTGACAAACTGCCCTGCCCCCTGTCTTATGGAGAAGCCGGATTGCTAGCCTCTTGCCCAGAGACTATGGCCCCTTGGAGATCCAGGACACTCCCATACAAACTAGGTCAATCCCTCCTCTGTACTTGGAAGATAACTGAGTCAAGTACCGTATTAACTCAGTTATCTCCAGACACAAACACATTTTATAAAACCCCAAAAATACCTTTTAAAACATACAAACTTACATGCACTGATAACCCTGATCTGGGTGAATAACATATCCAAGATTGGTTCAGGAATTTCCTGGAAGTTATAGTTTTGGCAGACTGCATGCATGGTCCCATGCCAAAACACGTCCATAGAATTGCGGCTAAGTGCCGCTGGGGGACCGCCCGTTAACCGCAAAGTTTTCATGCCGAAAATAGTTCCAGGGCATTCGTGGCTTAGTCCCCCTGAAGTCTATTTGCGGTTTTGGTCCACACGAATGGCCACCAGGTAGCTAGCGTTCGGTTCTATGGAAAGTGCCAAACTAGGGGGAATAAAATATGGGTCTTTACAGTCGCTGACCTGGCCCATAGTCTTTTGGCAAGCAGGCCCCTCCAAAAGTCTGTGGCGAAGTTCTGTTTGCCATTCTATCTCACTTTTACACTCTCTTATTTTTATTTTTTTATTTTTTAATTATACATGTGCAATTCGTTTCGGTCCGAATATGAATTCGGACGAATTTCAGACATTCGGGTACCGAATTGCTGAGGTTCCGAAGTTACCAAATTTCCGAAGTTCCGAAGCACACTATTGCCTAAGAACTAATATACTTACCCAGTGAAAGAAGAAGAATGTTACATTGTATACAATTTTAAACAAAAAGTATACAAACATAGCCAGGATTCAGCTGTAAGCATTTGCAACACTTACAACCATCAAGTATCATACATTCATATAAAATGTAAGTTACTTAGCCTGTCAATGTAATGACAGGAATGAATAAGTAGATAACTCCCTAATTCCCATGGTATTAGAGAGCGATTTACTAAAAGGCTGAAAGACCTAAATTGTAAATTTTGCCCCTACTCGCTATACCGCGAGCCTGTGGCTGCTCACAGATCCGGGACACGCAAGTGGAGGCTTTAGTTTAAGGGGGGACTTTTTTTTTTTTTTTTTTTTTTTCGTGAGCAGCCACAAGCTGATCACTGTTTAATAGATATGCCCCTACTCACGGTATAGCGAGTAAGGGCAAAATTTACTAATACTTAGTAAATTTGGCTGAAAGTCCAATTTAGGTCTTTCAGGCTTTTGGTAGATAACTCCCTAATACCGTGGAAATTATGGAGTTATCTACTAAGCGGCTGCAAGAGGAGTGGCGAATTTAGGAATACCGAACCGAAAATTTTCCCCATGCAAATGCCTAATTTTTTTTTTTTTTTTTAAGTTTATTTACTGTTTGAAGTCAGTAGATCTCTGGATCCTCCTGCTCGGTCTACTGCATTCAGCTTGTCAGCCAGAGCTGATGCTGTGTGTACACTTTCAGCTCTGGCTGCTGACATCCTCAGGGGCTACTACAGGTGTCAGGATATTTATATCGGTAGACATTTTGTGCTAAGATAGAAATTAAAAGTGTATATTGCCAGAGTCACTCAGAACAGAGCGGACTCCATTTTGGATCTTCAGGCCAACAAAGACACATAATTTCTTCTTGCTTTCTGTAACTAGCCACTAGCCTGAGCTAAGGAATGCATTATATAAACAAGCCAAATGAAGCAGGGGGATGGAATGATCTTTTTAAATGTTAATAGAATAGAAATAATTTTAAACACAGACACTAGTGACAGAGAAGACTAAGTAATTAATTTTACTTTCTAAATTTTACAAGGTCCCATTGTAAGTAAGGGGTGAAATTGAGTTTAGAACTGTCAATTTTAGAAATATACGATCAAAGACTGAGACAAATTCTTTGAACTGACAGCAAATTTAAGTTATGGTAGTCATTTTAGATAAGCCAAATGATGTAAAAATCCTCATCAGGAAAAGTTAACTCTTTCCTGGATAGGAAGGTTTAGTAAGGCGAGACTGCCCGCTATGGATCAAATACCTAAATTGCGATCTGCAGGTTGACCACACCTTCAGTATTGTATTGGCCTTATCAACTAATGACGTACAGAGAATCTGGCCCTTTAAAAGTTAGGACAAAGGGAAGAGAGGAGGGGAGTTTGGGCATTCAGATTTGGACATGCAGAGAGATCCAGGACACTCTCTGGGACTAACATTAAACTCTCTTGGACACATCTCAAGAAACACTCCTTCACACTTAGAATTTTACTGATACTTTCTAACCAACATCACTTTTCTCTATTACTACAACCAACCATACTCGCAAGTTCCTGGGACTACCTACTCATCTGATGAGGATACCTACATAACTGGTAATTATGCTGGTTTTATTTAATTCATCTAAATTAATTCAAATCTAATGGCATTATATATGACTGGATAAATCACGGTCAGATTTCAATATTTAGATATCTTAGTTAACTAATGAATATATAGTTATAACCATTCCATTCTGCAGGTGGAAATAAGAATAATTATATATTAATGTGATATTATCACGTGTGAGCATACCGCTGTTTTTATCCAGGTGTATTGATTTACTCTAAAATAAGATAAGATATCTTTTTAGGCAAATTAAAATTCTGCTTTTGTAAAAATCTGGTAGATTATTCTTATTGGATGGTTCCAGGAAATGATTAATGAGCTGGTTTGAATGTTATTTTAATTGAAAATTACATGAGAATAGGATAGTATATGCCTAGGAGGATCTAGCCAGCATTGAAAGGGTTACTCAGTTGATCTAACTGATAGCCAAGGTTTTACTTTCGCTGGAAGTTTAGCTTTCTGTGATGTACACTCATAAATCTTGTAAGTCTTGACAGTTGACGCTGTAGCTTTGTACTGTCTTTAGCCTTTGCCATTGTATACGATGTTATACTAAATATTCACTGATTATTATCATACATGCTGCCTAATATTATTTTATTTGTCACAATAAATTATATCAATTTTTATAACAAATTGTGATTTTATTTGTATGGAATACATTTCATTTACATGATGACGATCTCTAAGATCTAAGTGAATTGAAATAATGGGCAATTCTCAACTGTATAATATTATCATCCCATAAGTATCCCCACACAGGACACAGCAGGTGCGTTCAGTACATTTGATGTAAATGTGAAGACCTCAAACGCGAGTACTGCGCATCTGGCAGGATTAACCAGGATGTCCCTTTGGTGGCCATCTACTAGGTTCTAAGGTAAACCCTGTATTTTCTCTGAAAATAGTGTTTACACGAGACCCTGCAGGGATCTATTGTACTCACCATTAAGCTTGTTCAGGTGACTATAGTGTCCCTTTAATAATGTCTTTTATCTTCTTATACATTGAAAGGACTACTAGGCCAATGAAAGATATGATAAAATAACATATAAGGAACAGTGGCGTAGCTAGAGCTTTTGCTGTCCCAGAGTTTTCCGTCCCAGAGTTTTCCGACCCAGTAGTGTGACTTTAGGCACTATAACAACTGTATGTTAATGTGTTGTGGTAGAATATGTTGGTGCTACATAAGTGTGTGGCTGTATGCAGTATTGCAATGGTAGGGATGCTGCTTGTGATATGTGTTGGGTGGCTGCAAGTGGTATTTCATTATGAAGGGATGCTGCTTGTGGGATTGCTTGTATACAGTGAGGCTCCTTGTGTGGATGGGGCTGTTTGCAAGGTAGTATGTGAGTGGATATAAGTGTAGTATATAAGTATTTTGGGTTTTTTCTTTTGTGTTTTATTTTCTGTTTTGTCTCTCAACATAGAATCTTTTATTTTCTCCACTCCCTCTAAAAAAAAAAAGGCAACAAAAATGAAAACTAAAGATCAAGAAGAAAAATCTAGATAAAAAGCTATTTGGCTTTTTTTTCTTTTCTCACCAATTGCAGCCAAAGATATACAAAAACAAATAATTCTTAATCATGCAAGCTTTTCACAAAAGCATACCCAAAACAAAATGGCTCCCTCTGATAATGAAGATCTCTCCATTGCACAAGATTTCCTACAAAATGTTCTGATAAACAACTACTTCAGATAAAAGCAAAAATACAAGAGCTCAAAAAGGCTTCAACTGGAGATTTAAATAATCACGGAAAAGGTTACTACAATAGAAGTAAATATGGAAACATGAACACAGAACACAATTCCATACAAGAAACTACCAACCATCTATCCACAAAGCTATAAAAATTTGGAGTAAAAAAAAAGATATGGAAGACAGATCCAGAAGAGTGAATTTGAGAATAAGAAACCTACCTGAAGCTATAACTCAAGACAAATTAGACAAACATTTCATTATTGTTCAAATCACTGAGCTCACTGGCGGATTCGGGGGGGAGGGCACAACAGGGCAATTGCGACCCTGTCTGCTAATGCAGGGCTGAACCCATACATAATACATACACACACACACACACACACATTGCCCCCCATACACACACCATACACATTCATACATTGTCCCCATACACACCATATAAATACACATACTGCCCCGCCACACACATACACATTGCCCTATACATTCACACACTACACACCCACACAAAAACACTGCACCCCTTACATTACACCACTGCTCCTATGCCATACTACAGCCCCCATATCCCAGCAGATCCCCGGTAAGTTGTTAAACTGTTCTTAAACGGTTTGACTACTTACTCTGGGAGGGGGTCCTGGCACCATAACCTCTACATAGAGCTGTAGTGGTTATTGTCCATGGATTATTATTTTAAATAAAATAAAAGTGCCCCTCCCGAAATCAGTCTCTGGATCCGCCCCATGTTGGAGCTCCTATGGAAGATCATGATATTGTCTTTGAAAACCTAAACACTTGGCACCAAACATCTCTAAAGATGTGATTGTACAATTTCATTTTTACAGGTTCAAAGACCGTTCCTGTGGAACTTCCTTCCCTTTTCCGTTAGACGCTCACCTAGTCTCCACTCCTTCAAAAAAATGCTTAAACTCCCTTTTACACTAAAGCATGACAAACTGTTAATGGCTCCAAAAATAACCCTCACTAAGTCTTCATTGAATACTATTCTACCAGTCTACTTCCTTTACCTTCTGTGTCACTTTACCCCACTCTCTCTAGCATGTAAGCTCATTGAGCAGAGCTCTCAACCCCTGTTTCTGTGCGTCAAACTTGTCTGGTTACAATTACATGTTTGTTGGTTCACACATTGTAAAGCCAATTTGTTGGTTAATAATTTACTTGTAAATATTTATGCTGGATATAGGTCTAAATGCATATTCTTAATCTAAGTCATTTTTGTATGTATAAGGAAAGAGAATCCAAGAAGCACAAAGGGAGACCGGAACATTTATATAAAAATAACACTTTATTCTAAATAATATACAAAGCAAATAAAAATATACATAAACAAGTATGTGTGTGCATACTCCAATAGAAGCATGTCGCTAGACACAAAATCTAAAAACACATGTCTCTAAAACAAAAAGTAAAACTAAAACTAAGTCCTGGAGACTACCTCTGGAATAGATAGTAAATCTGACATGAAAAAAGTGAGGCTGGAGACACTCAATAAATGGCCAGCTGATGTGGCGTATAGTCTGAAAAAAATCTAAGAGATCCCTTAAGACCATGTACTTAGTACATACTTAGTGGATGATCGCAGGTGGTCTTCCTGAGGATTTTGTTGATCCTTACTGTTTGTCAATCCATAAGATATGGGTGTCCTGTCACTTCAGCGTCTCTCCTGTTTGCGCGAGTCTGATTACAGGAGGATCAGGATCCGGGCACTCCAGCAGTGTAGACTGCAGCACAGTTATAGATTTGCTGAGCGCAATCTACTTTCTAAAATCATTTATTGATTGGTATTTCTAATTTATTTTTTGAACTCCTCCCACCCCGCCCCCTCACTCTGATCTTCACTCAAGATATTTATGATGCTCTGTAAGAATGGTGTCTATTTTCTATCAAACCTGTGACCTATCTGCACTCATGTTGCTTTAACCCCTGTATCATAACTCAACTTTGAATTCTATGTGTTGTCTTTGCTCCTAAATTCTTTAGACTTGAGAATACAACAGGAATTTAAAAAAAAAAAAGGCAGAAGGGGTGTGTTTTTTTGCGATCAGAACCTTTAGAAGGTAGTGCTTTTTTGGAGGTCAGTCTGTTATCCTCCTTAGTGTTCAAGTAGCCAAAACTTTAGTACAGATGAGAAATTATTTTGTTGGTGTCTCATATGGAATAAAACACAAAAGAAACCACGTATAGTGTAATCCAGTATTTACAATGATTTCGGTAAAATTAAGATAAAATATACTCACAAGAGGAGGGGTTTTTTTTGGGGGGGGGGGTTTATAAACCTTTATTTATGTTCATGAAATATAAACAGTGTGGTATTCCATCACATTCATTCTTCTAATCAATAACATAATATAACTTTAATCACTTTACCTTTATCATACTTAAATTCAGAGGGGACTATAACATTTTTTTTTTTCGAGCAGAGGCAAGAGTTTAATATGTATACCATTTTAGAAAACATATCACCTTTTCTATCTAATTTTTATTTAATGCTTAATATTTTATGACATTTTTTTTGTTCATAATTACAATTTGGAAAGTCCAAATGGAATAAAAATGTCTGGGGTAATAATATTGCCTGTTGTAATCCTATTTTTTACAAATATATTAGAGATCTTTCTTTTGTCTTTCATCTCTTGTAGTTCTTCACCTTTCCACCACATGATATAGTGTACCTATTTCTTTGGAACATTTCCAGCATTTATCTGTAACTATTATTATTATTTTTTAATTTTTTATTCTATATGGAGTGATATACCATCGATGAGCAATTTAAAAAATAAATAAATAAATTTAAAAAAAAGGATCTCCTGTAAATTGAGGCTGTGATTGATCTTCCTGATTTCAAGAAATCTGTCTCCCCATGTTTCCAATGTAACTGTTTTGTTTCTATAGTTTTTCTATTTTTGGTGTTGGTTTTATCTT